ATGACTACGAGACAACATAACATAACATGTTGGGTTACCACGGTCTTGCACCTTCTAATGACAATGTAAATTATTATATGCATGACGCTGAAATTTTACAGGTAGACAACTGAACTAAAAATAAAATTTATTTTATTTATTTATCCGATGCTGTAGTAGTCTGTTAATGTCTGGCTATCAAAGATACCGCACTGTCACGATATGTACGCAACTCCCGTGGATGTACAAAGCTGCATATTATAGCAGTTAGCAGTGACTTTAGGGACAAGTTCCAATGCGGGGTATTGGCGCAAACGATTCTTACAAATGTTACAGTGGACACACCTTATACGTGTAGGCGTTACACAACTTCCCATCGTTTAAATTTTTTACTTTTATTATAATTTGTAAACGTAAATAAAATTACAAAATAAGTAGATACAAAAAAGATTGTGTTTTATGTCTTCAAATACGTGACAACACTATTTGTATTGAAAATAGTGAGTGCTATATCAATTAATCAAAGACACTTTTTTTATAACTTATTTTGTTTTGCGACTCACTCAGGTCTTGAACACAATTAAAAAAATTTCGAAATTACTTACTCACAATTTAAAATAAATACTTTTCTAGACGCTTAATAATTTCATCAACTACCTATTATTTCGTCACTGTATTTTGACCTACATAAAAACGTTGAAAGTTTAAGAAGTCCAGTTGTAAAAACATGCAGGTTTTTATAACTTGTTCCCAAGTTTTCCATTATGAATACAATCGAACTCCAAACCAGCAAGGGCGACCGCAAGAACACAAAAGTCTAGGTACATAAACAACTTCCTTCGACAACGCCCACCTGTTGAACACTCAACTAACTTCATATTACATTATAAATTTTGTTAGTTACTGTTAACGCAATGAATGTGCCGTTTACTTTTAAGTCAAGCTTTAGAAATAGGTAAGTTTGCGTTGCTTAAATGCTTGAGTACAATATATGTAACAATATTGATTGTTTAAAATAGAAGAATGACAGCAAAATTCCTTAACATTGCTTAGGGGGTTTTTTTAGGGGAATGACGGCATTTAATTTTCTTACATTGCGTAGAGCAAGAAAATAATCAGGAAATAAAATTGATGGACACGAGTTTCCAATCGCCGTGAATTGTGAAGATTATCTTCAAATATTATGTTACACAAAATGCCTCTTAGAGTTTTACTATATTTTGTTTCTGTAAAATCTCGGTTCACAAATACGAGTATTGTACACCAGACTGCGCGGTTCAGAGGTCAGAATGCGCCGACCACCAATAAGTTCATAAAGATTGGTATGCGGAAAACATCTTGTTGCAAGCTGAAATTGTTAACACATCGTATTTTGGAAGAAGGTTAAGGCTGACTACGCCGATTATTTTACAAGGCAAAAGAGAGAAAAAACATATTCGATTTCAAATACGAGTATTACCAACAGTAGTTGTGAGATAATAATAAGATATGAATTGTTATCTCAAGGATAATCCATCTCTGCCATTTTTATATTCTTATATTAAAATACACATCGATCTCGACCTTCCTCATTTCCAGCTCAATAAACCGAAACGAATTGAAATAGTTGATACTGTAGGTACAATATCCCTTAAGTAATTTTTCACAAAGACAATAAGGATCCATTCAGTACCTTTTTTATATTCTGATGTAAAAAGATAAAACGGTGTCGTTCTTAGTTATAAGTCTAATATATAGTTCGATATATAGGGAAAATAATCCAACTGGTGAACCTTCCTAAACTTTCAAGCTTACTAAACACTTTCATCATCATCAACAGCCTTCAATAGTCCACTGCTGGACATAAGCCTCTCCTTAGAAAGGAGGTTTTGGCCTACTATACCACGCTGGCCAGACGGATCCCTCCTATTACAGGCACAGAGTGGCACACCGTGTGGTTTTAGTCGGTCCGAGTCCGACACACCACCCCGCCGCAAACTCCGGTGGGGTGACGGTCCGCGTTGATTTCCACACGTAAAAAAAAAAAAAAGGGTTTGTGTCAAGTTTTCCTTCTCTCTGCAGGGCTGTTGTTCTGCGTAGTTTTCTCCCTTAGTCGTCTTTTACGACACCCACGGGATAAATAGGGGTGGTGACACTCTGTATTCTTAATCCGTCACCACACGGACTAAACACTTTGTTTAAACTAAAATGGTAAGTAGTATAGTTAGTGGGTATTTGTAATTGTATTTGGGGATTGTCCAGGTCAATGGGTATTTGTAACACTCATCTATCAAATACCCATTGACCTGGACAATGCAGTGATATATTAAGTGTAAAATTAGTACTTAAGATCGCTTGTTAAGTTGCAAACCCAGAAATAATATTGTCGAGGAAAAAGTGCCAGTTATAAATTTATATGAGAGTCAAACTAGTCAGTCAGTCAAGTTTGCGGTTTGAAAAATAAGAAACTGCACTTCACATATTTTAAAAACGTTTCTTTCTCACTTAAGAAGCCTTGTAATTCGCTGTAAATATTCAACGAGGATTCTACCTTTCATTAAAGTATTGGCAGATGTTCTACCAAAAATATTACTTGTATTTGTGATTTTGTGAATGAATGAATAATAGCTCTTTTAAATTATTTGCCAACTATCCCTACTACTGATATTTGGTTAATGAAATAATCTTATACCTATGAAGACTGGGCGTGTTTCAGTCGAGATCTGAAATCTGTACCCTAATTCCCCTTGAAGAAAGTGCTTAAACCAAATAAAAGTAAGAGATATTTTTAACCGACTTCAAAAACACAAAAGAGGAGGTTATCAAATTATTATATGCGATATTTCCGCCAATTGTGGACCGATTTTCAAAATAATTTTTGTAATCGAAAGGGTATGTTCCCAAGGTCGTACCGTTACCACTAAATCAGGATGTGATGATGTTATTCTAGAGAAGTCGAGGGAAACCCTCAAATTTTACATCTCCGAAAACGTGTTATAGCTTATTTCTCTAGCTATATAGGTAGTTGTGTTTAGTAGTCGTTATGTCATGTTGCTGAACTGATGATGGAAGGATCCTTGACCTTTAAGAGTTAGAAAATAATTATTTCAAAAATCTAATTATGTATTGATCTTGTATTATTCATTCAAGATATTTGTTAGGTGTTTGTTTTGGGTTACAGAGATATGTGCACCAGAGAGTACTAATGAGATTACAAAACATTTAGACAAAAAAAATGTTTATTACGCATTTATTTCATGTTTGTTACCTTAAAACTCTTTCATTTGTAAACTGATTTGGAAAATTCGTTTATATTTTAAAATTTTTGTTGCAATCGAAAGATTATACCACTAAATGAGAATCTGATGATGTGATCGTAGAGAAATCGAGAGAAACCCTCAATTGTACAGCCCCGACAACGTGTTTGTCTAACTATATAGGTATTTGCGGTTTATTAGTCGTTATGTCATGTTGCTGAGCTGATGATGGAAGGGTCCTTGACATTTAGGAGTTAGAGGATAACTCTTTAAAAATCTAATCATGTATTGACCTTGTTTTGTTTCTTTTACGCTATTTGTTAGGTGTTTGTATTAGGTTAGAGAGATATGCCCACAAAAGAGTCATATATGCGATTACAAAACATTTAAACAAAAAAAATGTTTGTTACCTCAAAATTCTTTAATTTGTGAACCGATTATGAAAATTCTTTTTTATTTGGAATAATATGCTACCCCTTCAGTTCCATTCAAATGTAAAAAAAATACCACCCCTGGTTTTGGAAAATTAAGTAATGTGGGAAAATAATATTTTTGGGGTTCAAATGTAACATCTTACTACCTTATCAAAATAAAGTAACGGGCTTATTAAACTATATTTAATATAATCAAACATACTACAGCTTAGTACTAAATATTACGGTAAGTAGTGTTTTAAATATCGTACTTGTCTATACATAAAAATATCTAACACTAAGAATGGTAAAATAAATCCTTTTAAAAATAGTAGAACCGACTTCAAACAGACTAGAAGGGACTATTGCTATTATAATGTTACCTGTTTTATTGAGGATACTTAATAGTTTCTCTACTTTGAGATGTATTTATTTTTAAATTTTTAGTGTTCTTTGTCAGTATTGTTTGAAGTCGGTTCAAATATTATTTTAAAATGATTTATTTAGCTTGAAATTAAGTGTCACATAAAGAAAAATGATTAAAGATTTGAATTTTTTAGCCAACGACTTGAATTAAAATTAAATGGACAGCTTTAATTACCTATTTAGGAGGTAGGTCTCAGTAGAACAGTTATAAATGTTATTCTTCTTTTAATTCAATGGCTCCATCGGATATCGATGATTTTGCCAACGTCAGGGATTGCCACTTTGAGAAACTGTTACATTTATGTAGTGTGTTGATGCAGTTCTTACACACCCACTGTAGTCTTGACATTTGTCGAGTTTTAATTCATAGATGACGAAACGTGAAAAAAATATAAGCCTAAGTGAAATTCTGGATGAAGTTGCATTGAAGTTAGCTTCAGTTTACATTTTTCAATTATCATCGCAAAATGTAAAACCGGTATTTTGTTTACCATCAATTCATTCATATCATTTGCCTACTCTTATCCCAATTTTATTTGGGGTCGGCACAGTACTTGTATGATTCTTCCATTCTATTACTACCTATTACATTACTAGCCATATCCTCTCACACACAGTTTACCATCAATTATCTTCAGCTTTCTTCTTTATTCTGTCGCGAAATTTAAAATTTATATATATATATTTTGTACAAACTACGATATCAAGGATAGGTATTTTATATTAAATTTAATTTTAAAACAAACAAACAGATTGTAAAGAATTCGATGTGACATGAGCACTGAATTGGAAATAGACTCTATTCATTTGGACACATGAATGGTAATTGGAAAAATTAGACGAGATGGGTGCACATTCTCAAAATTAGTCGGCATACAAGGGATTAAGCATTAGAGTTGGACATTAAAGTTAGTGCCTTTTGTAGGCGACACGATAAGAAGTTTTGATGTGGGCGGGATATCGATCGGCGCCAAATGAGTGCGCGCTTACTTATCTTGCCAGTAAACAGACAGCACGCTCAGAGTGGAGAGGTGGCCACGGGATGCATACGCTGATCGGGCTGTTTGTCGCTACGGCGGCGGCATACGCCATCGCAAGGCCCTCTGGTAAGTTCAAAATTATAATAATCATTTAAAGCATACAATGATTTACACAATATTTAAGTCTACATTTCATAATAATACTGTCGCTGATTTGCGTTTCCCGTGTCCGTCCCTGTAATTGCGAAGTTATTTTACAATGCTGTGCGTAACGCCAAATGTGAAAAATTAAATAATCATCACTGATAATACTCGTAAATATAGCTCAATAAAATGATTGCTAACATCAACTTTATGCCGACTGACACCTGTTACATGCATCGGACTTAGCGTTTCAATTGCCTTTAATTATACTTTATTAAGATATTAACCTCTTTATGAATGAATCGTTCAACAAGTTTTATTATACTTAGTAGGAATCTTTGAATTGAAAACTAAACCTTTTTATTCTATTGAGTTTCTTTCAAAAGATATTTTTTGGTACCTAAGAAGTTTCTCATACCCTGTCCTAAAACAGGTAGGCTTAATAACATCAAATATAAATATTTTTATTTCATTTAATTATAATACCTGTTCAATGTAATTGTGCACAAGGTAAACCGTTTTTTAGAAACTTTTTATATACAAACCTTAACTTAAATCAAAGCCATAAATTTAAAATTAGCAATGACGTGCAGCAGCAGTAGCAGAAATGAGAAATAAACCATTTATCTATAAATGATTAACGCAAGTACTGCTTTTAAAACCATGACTATAATAAAACGTATTTACTTTTATATCAGTTACTAGTCAATAATCATACTTTAAACAAATTGAGAGTTTCATCATTGAGAAGTCACGATATTTTTACTACTAAAATTGAGTTAGCAACCATTCTTGAACTAATAAATCAATATTTTTGTACGTGGTACAAAGAAAAGACATTAATGAAAATACTATTCGAAAGAAATTAAATACATTACAATATCACAAAACTTTGGTATACGGCAAATAAGGATACCAATAATTGAAAGCAAAATAGACTAATAAATAAGTGGAAATAATAATTTCTTTGCGATCATTTTTAACCATCTTCAAGAATGAATGAATAATCTCAAAGTACACACATATTTCAGGCTCTCGTCCTTCGTAGAAATATTTTAATTTAAACAATCAATATACAATACTATAATATACAATACCCGTAAAACATAATGCCACATTCCCATAACTCTATTAATTTAATATAAAATCTACTCATAGTATTTATAGTATAATGCTCTTAGAATACTTTTATATACATATGTACAGTGCTGTCGTCAAGATAGAAAAGTGGTCGACGCTTCATCGTCTCTGAGGCGCCTCTGTTAGCTTTCGATAGATCAATGTGTAACTAAAGTTAAGTTGCACTTATGTTATAGGTAAGCACTGAAACGCCTCCTTCATTGGTGCAAATCAAATCAGTTTCCGCCTCTAACATATAAAAATCAATAGCAAATATGATTTGTGCTGGGACATGCTTTTACGTGTGAAATGATTTTCGTTCGCCTGCTTTAATGTGCTGCATATATGATATTACCACGTCTCTGACTTTCCTCGCGGTTTATTCAGCGGAAAATTTTCGACACCAAATATAAATAAATGTGTTGGATATGCTTACTTAACCCTTATGTAGGTATAAATATATTATACATATTTACATCACATCTTGTTATAAATAAAACGATCGATTTGATTATATTATCGATATTTTAACTGAATTATTTATCGCATGATAATCATAACCACAGTATTCCTAATGCGGGCGTTGTCTAAAAGAAAAAATAAAGAATTACGGCCGCGGATTATTATTAATAAAAAATACACATTTGGGGAATAGAGCCCTCTTAATTCGATATTACATAGCTAAAGAACGCTGTTGCTTAATGATAGCTTCTTCTCACAAACTTAATTATGGGTCAAAGACGAGAGGTTTGACCGTTAAACTAATTTTCAGAAAATACCCGCGGGAATTTATTTATATTCTGCGCCAAACATTCTATAAGAAAGCCTTTGATTTGAAACTTAGGTGGTCTTGAACCCCTCCAGCGATCCCTAATTCATTAGATTGGTATGTCGAATTGTTGAAGTGTCTTTATAGCAACATCAACAGCCTATACTAGTCCACTGCTGGACATAGGCCTCTCCTTAGAAAGGAGGTTTTGGCCTACTATCACACAGAAGAAGATCTTCAAGTTCCTGGAATGGAGAATGAAAGGGCTCGTCATCGATAGTAACAGTGAATTAAAGCTATCGATCATAGCCGATGATATCGTGGTCTTGACGAAGTTCATGCAAAATCTAGTAACCTTAATAGAGTTTAATGAATTTCCCCCCTTTCCCTTGAAATAGTTGAGAGCTCAGTGCTTGAATCTGTTATACCTATATATATATATACCTGGGACCGACAGTTTAATTAGTTAGGTCCAACTTCGGGGTGAAATCGATCATCTAATCATGTTCGGATAGCTAAAGTTTGGAGAACTCTTGAAGTTCTTAATTTAGTTTGTATATTCCATATACACAAACTAAACTTATAATAATTTGCTAGAGTAAGTTCCGTATAGCAGCCAGCCAAAAAGTAATTGATCTTGAATACTTTTATTGTTCTATGACACTAGTGTTTCTTGAGACATAGGTGTCAATGAGTTACCGTCTGCTCTTTCCCTCTCTAACAATCAATCAATTTAAAGGTAGGCATAAAGTTCATAAAAACTAGCTACAAGTATCAAAAAACCTTCAACATATTTCATGTAGTTACATTTTAAATCCAATAAAAAGAAATATAGCACCAAAGAGGCATGCATGCACTTTATATGAAATGTTTTATTACCGATATCAAAATCATAGCCGTTTTGTATCAGCGTCCAATTACCGCATGGTCAATTACACCCTTTGAAATATACTCGATACGATATTCATTGAAAAGTTCTATGTTTTATTTTAGTATTTTTATACGAATCCCACTCATAAAATAAAAATACCGAGCTTTATTTTATGATCAATTCGACTTTGGTTTTTCTTTCGAATTAATGTTTTCAATAAGTACTTCGTACTAAGTACTAAGTACGTATACTCGTATAACTAGAACTTTAAATAGAATCTTTGGCGCAATTGTCAGGTTTCGAATACTTATTACTAACTACATTCCATACATCTTAGAAAGCGATAAACTTGGTCCGGCCAGCGTTGTATAGTATTTCAAAACCTCCTTTCTAAGGAGAGGCCTATGTCCAGCAGTGGACCATTTAAGGCTGTTGATGATAAACTTAACCTGTAGGCACTGCAACATCATTTGTTTGGCCAAAAAACATGTAAATCATAAAATCATATTCAAATAAATAAACATTAACATATGTATAATTATGTATAGCTAAAGGTAGTTTTAGTAAGAGTACAAAATTTTCACAGGAGTATTTGACTATTAATTTTACTTTTAAATATGATACTAACAATATCACCCCACTGCTAGTCCACCTCTCGGTACAGTTGTTTGTGTTATATACAGATAATATAATTGTTCTGAGAAGAAAGGTCCTTGTTTTGGAAGTACTCAACTCTCCAAACTCAACAAACACACAACTAACGAGTATAAATTACACCCAGACAGAAATAATTGCCGTCGCGGCACTCGATCTAGTAGCAGTTGTTGAGGTGAGCACTTGACAAGTCAAATAGTTTGTTGACGTCGACACCATATCTATACAAACAAAATAGAAGTGTTTCTTTGTAAACACTGTCGAAATAACAGTTTCTAACGCAATGCAAGTGAATTACTAGTTATATTACTACTTCGCTCGCATGATTATTTCTCTTCGCACGAAATCCGGTGTCTTCAGCCAGAGCTGCTCGACGGAATCGTTGGCTCCCTGTTCCCATCACGAGTGGTGGAGCATACTCCACCACAGATGGCTCCACCTCCGGCGCTTGAGGCGCCTGGATGACGACGACATGCCTGAGGTCACTTGAGCGGAACTAAGGGTGGCAGTGCTACGGTTTAAAGCCAGGAACACCGCCCCCATTATTCCGATGATATTCCAGGCCGAGCGTGGGTCCTGGCCCTAGGTGAAGTGGCTCTCGAACCCCGACTGAGAGGGCTCTTCAGCGCATGCCTCGAACGGGGCCAGTTTCTGAAATTGTTGAAGACTTGGAAACTGGTCCTGTGAAAGGAGATTCACCATCCGCCTACCGGATCATAGTGTTGCTTGACGAGGTGTGCAAACTCTTTGTAACCTCTTCAGGTTGACGCCGGATCTGGCGGACAAGCAGTACGGTTTACGACAGAGGCGCTCCACGGTGGATGCGATGCTATCTCTGGCGAAGGAAGTAGTTTCCCGGGGTGAAGTGGTGTTGGCGGTGTCCTTGGACATGATATCATCGTCTACCTCAGATACGAGCGGTCTCGGTCGGCGTGAAATGTTGTGCGGTGTACCGCAGGGATCGGTGTTAGGGCCGTTCCTGTGGAACATCGGCTACGTCTGGGTGCTTCGTAGTGCCTTCCAGATTGGTGTTGCCGTCACGTGTTATGCGGGTGACACGCTCGTAACGGCGTGCGCTAAGACGTACCGTGACTCAACCCTTAGGGCCACTCACTATTACATGACAATCAATTCCCTCCTAGCGACCGAGTGCAGGTACTTCCCAAGGCAGCCGTGCCCGGAAAGGACCTGCTGTAGTCGGAAGGAAATGCCACTCGACGATGACAGGGTGGAGTGCCTCTACGTGGCGGCACGGCAAAACCAGCACTTGGATGCCCCGGAAACGTCCGGAACTCAGTCGTCCGCCGAAATGTTCAAATCCCACGGGAGAGTTCCAACCAAATACGTCGGTCGACACGGTGCCAATACCCTCTGAGGACGCCAAAGGTCAGAGCCGCTGCCCACATTGTCGCACCGTATAGTGCTATTGACCGGACAACCCCCGTGTACAGCCGTCTCGTTGCAACGCTAGGTCCACCCAGATTAGGCAAAAGTCGCCCAAGGGCAAACACAGCGCTGACCAGCTTTGGAGCAAGCTGCCGGGAGTGCTCGTCAAAGAGCCACCTCCCG